GTGAGACAACTAAATGCAGCGAACGCCCATCAAATATTTTCAATTTGCACTCATGTGGAATTAAACCTGAAACCTGTAATTAATAATAAAAAAATAATACAGATACGGAACAGAAAGACAATTCTGGCCTAAATTCTCTCCCACAAACATAGAACATTTCATTCTGACTCACTTTTTTCCATTGTACCCACTCATTTGTATTAACACACAATATGATATGAATCAAAGACCAGGATATCTGAGACATGTACTGTACTGTACTGTAAACTGAAGAGTTAAATAATAGTGTTTATAAGTTGGACACTCTGCTCCACCCAGTTCCACCATCGTGGCTTTTAATTGTTGGAGGTCAGGATTAATTAACTAACATGGCATCTACTGCATTATCTGTGGGAATTGCTGAAGATATGCAAGTTCAAACAAATATTACATTAAAAAGTGTTATTCTTGAGTATTCTCTGGTATTGTACAGTAAGTTCCAAGGTAAGTGCCTAAAAGATTTCCATGCTTGTGAAAATGACTAACCAGCATCCTGTGAATGCATATATAGCGATTTATCTTTTTTATTGTTATTATTATTTACTTACACAAAAAGAATAAGTATCTGCCATTTATTGGTTATCAAACATAACATGAAAATAATTATGCTGGCCTATTGTATCATTCAGAATAGTAATATCAATGCATCTGTAGAATTTTATCTAGTTTTTCTTTTACATTTTTGATCAAACTGTCCAACATAAACTTACCATGCCAAATCATAACTAAATAACTAATGCTGTCATTCTTAAAAATAACAGTTCAAACCAAGAAAGATGTCAAAGTAGAACTGTTTCAATTTCCTCTAAGAACTAATCTCTAATTTCAGGCTTCAAAGAACAATATACCTAACTTCAAGAATCCACCGCTGCCAAAATTGGTTCTTGTTAAAAAGTGGATTGTTTGCTGAAACTAACATGCCACAAAGAACCACTGAAGAACTGTTACTTTTAAGAGTGACTGTCACAAAAACGTAATTTCTTGGTTAAAATATCTGAATAAAGAGGTGACCTTTCAAAAGACATCAAAAACTAATTTTGTGTCAACCAAGTTATTTCTGAAGTTTTTGCACCTACTCATTTTCTCCTCGTGTACAGCTCTCATATACACAAGAAGTGTATTTTTAGAGTTTTATAACTTACCCTTTACATCTGGTGTCTGGGTGATCCTTTTTTAGGTTGGAAAATTGATTTCATAGATATTAGTTTAACTAACACATGATGAAATTGCTATCATAACTGCAGGATCTCTGTAGAAGATGAAGGTTGCTTTACCTCCCACACCGTAACTCTATGTGTGCTTTAGCTTAATCCTTCTCCTCAGCAAAGGCCTTTGTAAGTGCCTCTGCACAGGAAAGAAAAATCAAAGACTGAGTTGTCTATAAGACACACAGACCTCATTTGCGTCTGCACTTTAGGAAAGCACAATGTTTGGTTGCTTGTCTTTTTCCTATGCTGAGCTGTGTTAATTTGTGAGGTAAAAAAAAAAAAAAACCTACAAAGTAAAGAAGTGCTGTGAGTAAATAGTATGTACATTTCCACATCATCTGGAATTCCAGTGCCATTTTAAGTGTTAAATGAATCACAATTAATTCAGTGGTTGATTTGAGAAATGTGATCGTTTTAACCAATCTAGCCTTGAAACATCCAATGATTAAAACTCTTGTGTCAAAACTAAAGAATATTTAGAGTATCAAAACTTGACCAAAAATTCCACACATTTGATGATGAAATCTAAAAATGTATAAAAACTTAATCTTATTTACACATACTGCTGTCACACTGGCAAAAAACAAAACAAAATTAAATAAAAAATGTTTTTGTTTATTTAAAGGGTAAGCTTTTTCTTTTAAAAAATGCATATTTATTTCTGAAAACAAATACCTAATTTATACAACCAGGTTTAAAGAGGGAAAGTTAAAAAACTCACCTGTTGTGCGAGTGTCAGATTGATGCAAGTGGAAGAGCAATTATTAGGTTGAATGCTCTGGAAAATGTTCGGGTCCCCCCTTTTATAATGTTTAGCATGACATTTAGTGGAAATTCAGCAAGACAGACGGTTTCCCCACTGGGTGTTGGTGTGTGTGCGTGTGTATTCATGTGTACATTTACCAGTGTGTAGTAACTGCTAGACTGTCTCCACATCTTCTTCAGAAATTATGTGGCATTTTGTTGTTTCCGTTTCCTATAGGAACTCTACTTTGCAGCAAAATACAATTTTTTCCTGAGTGATTATAATGAAGGGTTTCTTCTACACAAATATTTTATAGGTATTTCTATTACTAGGGGTCTCATACTGTATGTGTATTGCTGACTGAATTTGCCAAACAATATTTTGTGTTTCCTATTATGTGTTTTCTAAATAAATTATTTCTCTGGTGTAGAGGAGCCAAAGCCTAAATTCATCTTAAATATTTCTTGTTCTGTTTTACCACTAGACAGCATTGAGATTCTGCACATTTTCTTTGACAGATATTTCTATTTCCCCTCATTCATTCTGTTTCATTTCAAAACATCTTATCATAAGAGATAAAACTTATTTTCATAAATTAGATATTTCATGTCAGATTTCATGACTGAGATTAAATGGAAAAAATAATAATTCTGTCTTAAATAAATGTATAACTTTCAAATCAAAATCTGGTGAAGTCCATTCCGGAAGACCGGAAAATGAGATTGCAAAGAAAATCACCTATTACGTGTTCGGAAACTCCGTTTACAGGGGTTGTGACGTTGTATTCAGGTTCTGGGGGGAGACTGAACATATGTACAGGGTACATAGCATGTGTGTCGATTAGTTTAACGCAGGAAAAAACATCCTCATCCTGTGGTTGAAAAAGGTTATTTGAGTGTTTTTGAACAAACTGTTCTTCAATAATGACACTCCCAAGCTTATGTACTGTATGTAGACTTGCAAGACTTTTTCAGTCTTTTCTGATACATGTACGTGACTATAAACAACTTAAAAACATTTCTGAATATGAAAACAGAGTAGATTTTAACATGTATCTTAACAGCAGGCAGATCGATATAAAAAAAATTATTCTTCAATGTTAAAAACCAAATGATGTTTGGGGTCATATTTATTAAGTATGATTCCAATATGTACAAATAAAATTAAACACCATGTGATATGACATTGAGACAAAAAAATTAACCACTTCCAGGCTGAACGTTTTGTTTTATTATTTGTCTCTATACATAGTTCATAACATCATAGTGTTTTGTACAATATCATATTCCACTTTGTTCCTGCAAGTCATTTTTGAACCAAGTCTGCACAATGATTTTTCCATTTAAATCATAGGCCTTGTATTTGCTGGGAAATATGGGGATGTATTCAAATCATAATTATTTCATATCCTCATTCAACAACAATACCTGTCAGGAGTGTGGAGAGTTGTAAAAAACCCAATCCCCATTGATTACTTTTTATATTTTCTTGATTTTTCAGCATCCCTAGACAGTAAGGAAAAAGACTGAGATGTTTCAGAGGTAAGAGTTGTCTTGACTATTTTATGCAAGCAGCAGACCTATACTATGGATTTATTTTCAAGTGTATTAGATATAGGTAACACCTTGTAAAACATTTCAGCTGTTAACGAGGCAAACTGTATAATGTTGGTTCCATTTTTACTGTTATTCTTTTCTGTCATATTGTTACAAATGACCCCAACTAGTTTAACAACTTACTTTGATATTAGAGTAGATTGCAACAATGGATCTCTTTGTATTCAAAATCAGCTCTTTTCATCTGTTTTATAATCATCATAATCGTGACTAACATTTGTAGCAGACAGATATAGATATCTTGTGTTAAAATATGAGCGGTCAAGAACCAAAACTCTCATGTTATTCATGGTTAAAGAAAAATGGTTACTATCATCCCCGGTCTCCCTCTATACATATCAAGCCAGACCACTGATGCTGCACCTGTTGCACATATTGATTTCACTATATTAAGCAAGACTGACTGCTCCATCTAGGGGTTAAAATAGCTTACCAATCAATATTTTTAAACAGTAATGGTCCACAATTGAATATGCTTCTCACTACTGGATCTCATTAGCTTCATGATCATTCTGCTATACATATTGTTCATTCGAAACAGCTGCATTTTGCACCACTGACTGGATTATGCTAACGGAAATTAATTTAACACACATTTAGGTAGGCAAGCTGTTCGCACAGGGATTTTTGTGTTTGATTTATTTATGAATAAAAGAATTAGGCCTCATAACTGCTTTTCTTGGTTCACTTTTATTATTTCATAATTCTTCGCATATCATAACAAAAAACTGTACTGATTCTGCTGTTAGTAAATGGTGTGCATCTTAGAGCTCCAATCAAACTTTGTTTAAGAAAGTTACAGGGGTCTGTTACCCCAGGTGGCCTTAGGCCCATTTCACCCAATCATGGAGGAGAGTATGTGTGAGGGGCTGAATCTTCCGAAACTATTTAAAGCTGCATAACATGCTGAACGGCCATAACCGGTTGTTTAAATATGAGTGAACTCTGATCAGTTTTTTTAAATAAAGAAATTGTATTAAAGAAAACTGAACCTTTCTGTTATTTTGTTAGTTTACATTCTTGACAGTGACAAAGCATTTGCTGTATTCTTGACTGAAAATGTCTTTAAATGACCTGAAAATAATAGAATGTTCACAATAGGGTTCAGATTATAATCATCTCATCTTCATTATTATGAATGATTTATTATTACTACTACTACTAATAATAATAATAATAATTTGTATTATTATATTAAACAATACACACACACATATATATATATATACACACATATTATAGCCTACTTAATATAATAACCAATAGATTGACCAGTTCTATTATAGTAGCAATATTTGCTTGCCTTTTTTGTTGTTGCAATAGTCTTTTTTTATTTCCTTCGCAATTAGTATTAAGTGATTTTTTTTTCTCACAACAAACGGCGACCAAACAGATAAGCGTGTCTTTTAAACTTTAAAATAGCAGTGGGGGGCGTGTGCGCTTTGGAGCGGCCAACAAGAGATCAGGGGGAGGGATATACCAACAGAGCCCATCTTCCTCCTGACCTCTGGAGAACGATGGACGAGCCGCTTCCTTCTAAATTTAGACACTTATTCGTGTCTGTGCACTTTGAGCTCCAAACTGCAGCTCTCGTTTATGTCAATAGTTTAGGCCTAGTTCGGTCGAAACGAGGTGACAGACCCTCGCGGGTCTCCGTTGGCACTATGAGCAGCTCGATCTGACTGACGCGCACCATCGCAGTACGGCACCTCTCATGTTTACGAGACTCAGAAACAGACGTAATGGCGCAGGGGAATAATGGTAATTTCTTAACTATCCCCTCACAAGAGGAGCTTTTCAAGACGGCGAGGGACGAGCGTTTCGAAAACAACAGTAATGATGAAGATGAGGAAGAAACGGAGGAAGACGTCAGGCTAATACCGAGGTCTTCTCCTGTTCCCAGAAAGCGAGGCTCTTCGATTGCGGATGAAACCGCCGAGTACATGCGAATTCGCCTGGTGTTACCGAACAGAAGAGTGTCGTTTGCAGACAGTACGGGAGCCGAGCTGGTCGATGTCCGAATGTTTGTCCCGTTTGAGTCAGATGACGAGGACGATTCAAGATGGGTGGAAGAGGAGGCGCGGTACCGAAAAGCCTACCGTGAGCCCACTTACTGTGTGTGGCCGGAGTTCCAGCCGCTCACCGGAACGGAGCTCCTGCTCGCTGTCCACAGCAACAAGCTGGAAGTGGAGAGCGTGGCATCTGTGCCAGACGAGCCTCTGTCATTCGAGGTGCTTATTCGTGTGCTCAACATTTCTTTTCACAAATCAGTCTATGCCCGGTCCACGATGGATGGTTGGATCAATTACTTTGATTACCCAGCCGAGTACGTCCAGGGCTCCAACGAAGGCGAAACGGACAAGTTCTCCGTGACACTGGCCTTCGCTTCACCGTACCTGTTCAACGGAGCGCGGATTGATTTTGTTGTGCGCTATGAGACGCCAGATGGAGAGTTTTGGGCAAACAACTCTGGCAGGAATTACTCGGTAAGTCTCTTACAGTCATATGAGGACGACACAGTCCAGGCCACCACAGCGGACACAACAGAGCTGAGAGGAATCCTCAAACCTCCCAGATACCGGTAAGTGGGCGTCAGTGAACTTATAACACGAGTCGAACTCTGTTCTTAAATCTGTTTAGCTAGCAGTCTGATTTAGCCGTTTAGCACGGGTTAATTAAGCAGTGTCGTACTAAAACGTTAGTTAAAAAAATATCAACAGGATTAAATCTGCCGTGTGTGATATTTCTTAATTGTTTGCTTTTATTCTCTGTAAACTTTCGGGTAATTTACCGTTCAAACAAAAAAAAGTCGAGTTCATTCAGTTAGGCTTTTGCACGCGAACGGAAATATAATTCAAGATTTTAGCTTTGGATGTCGCCAAGCAACGTACAGACTAAAAGCTGGTCTGGAATACCGTATATCAGGGATCCTCAAATCTGGCCCACGAGATGCACTTTCCTGCAGAGTTTAACTCGAACCCTAATCAAACACACCTGAGCATGCTAATCAATGTCTTCAGGATCATTAGAAAATCACAGGTAGCTGAGTTTGATCAGGGTTGGAGCTAAACTCTGCAGCGCATTGGACCTCCAGGGTAAGATTTGAGGAACCCTGCCGTATATGATTGGAAGCGGAGAGGCCGACAAACAGCGTTCTGTGAACACTCCGCTAGAATTCCGCTCCGGGTTTTGCATTTCCCACGCTCTGCTTACCTGTGAGAGAGAAACCCGCAGTAGGGGTTCAATCTTCAACTGGCTGGCAGGAGCCGCCACTGACAGGTCACGTGACCTGCCAAAGCCCCGGCTTAGCGTGCGCTGAGGCCGGGATAGAGTGAGCGGAGGCCAGGCTAGCGTGAGCTGAGGTGGCGGGGTCGAGAACATCGCGCCCGGCGGATCTGACGAATGAGCGGCAACCACATGTGACGGACCCCGGGCTGAACTCCGTTTCGTCCATGGTGAAAGTTGATGTATTCCCTCAGCGACCAGCACAGATCAGCTCTAGGCATGACGAAGCGGATATATCGTCCTCTTTTGGAAGACCAAACAAAGTAGTTTTGTTTTCACAACGAAGCACACAGCGCCTTCACAACATGGCGGTGGCAACAACAATACTACAGCGAGAATAAAAGTTACAACATTTGGGCGGCGTTATGCAAATCTTCCCACAGAGTGACGTAGATATGTGGGGGCGTGTTAGAACGAGCCGTTTTAGGTAGGTGTGGCTAACTCTGAACTTTTATAAAGAATATCTCTTTGGATTTGAGACTTTAGTCTTTGCAACTTTACAGATCGTGTATGCTTTTGTAACACTCCAAAGAGAAAGGAAAAATTTAAATCGCATCATATGACCCCTTTAAGTGACATGAAATCTGACGCACAGATGCCATTGGCACATGCCACTATGCTCAGTGACACTTCCGGTTTTCAGTGGCATGTGTCACTAAAACCTGTGACACATGTCAATGGACTGCGTCTTGTGTCAGTTGCCGCGGTGTGTGTCGCACCTTCAGTAGTGACTGACACCTGCCGCTGGGTGTCGCTGCATAATGTAGATTGCGTGACACATGCACTTATTGGCAGAACGACATTGAATTAATTAACAGTATGTTGCTGTCAAACATACGATTTATTACATCGCGGAGTTCATTTGTACAACAAATATTGAGTTCCTATATTAAGATTAAAATGTGTCTTATGCCCCTTAATGAGTATTTTACATATTTAACGATTATTTTAAGTTTATTTCCAGTAGCCAGTTCCAGTTTTGTGCATTTTCATTTTTGCATAGATTGTACAGTTCAGCTGTATCATTTGTAATTATAAAATAATATAGAGACTATGCAGAGAAACGTTTTAATCAAATGTGCCACCACTGATATTTGCCAATCAGGAATTAGCCTACATATAAATATAAACTGATGAGAAAATGCCACAAACCATTATGATGTCTACTATTCTAATGTACACCAACCATTCAGAAGTGTGCTTGACCTTGACACAGGCTTTTCACAACGCAATGTAATGTAAGTTTGTAATGTAAGCCTGCAACGTAATGTAAGTCTGTGTTATCTTAAACAAAATTTGTACTTATTAACATGTCTGCAGAAAGTCAAATGCTTTGACAAAACATTTAGGCATCTCCTGAAGAAATGCATGCTCATACTATATATATATATATATATATATATATATATATATATAGTGTTTTTTGTTACACAGTTACAATTATAAACAGAATTACATTTAATTTATATATAATTATTATATTACTATATAAAATATTAAAGCCAGATGAATTTATACTTCTAGATTTCCGATGATAATTTAATGCTTCTACATTCATTGTTTTATATTTAAAAAAAAATTAGTAACATTTGTGACTGAAATTGAAAGCTGATTATATGCAGCTTCTGTGCAATGCACTTTTTCATGTTATATTTAGATGCAGCCTTTGCAGTGTAGGAATTCATAAAATACCAATTGTCACATGTTTAAATTTCCTGCTGCTAAAGAAGAAGAACCGTGGAATAACAAAGCTGTATTGAATTCTACAGGGCCTGTTATACAGCATCTGTATTGTGTGAGTTTTGGGGTTGCACGTTCTCCCCACCCCCTCACTCCCTTTTGAGAATGGCAGCCATTCAAGGGTGTGTGAGGAGGATGAAAATAGGACAAGGCAGGTGTCACTTTCAGCTGTGGTGTATCGACCGAGACCTTAACTCTGACCTTTTCTATAGGGGTTGCACAGTAAGAGGCACAACAGACCAACAAAAGTAGACACAAACCTACGCCGATTCCGTCTGTACACCTGGAGACATTCTTTTACCCATTATTTCCACTTTATCACCAACGACAATGAAAGTTTGAGAAAAAAACAACAACAACGAATGAGTGGCGTAGAGATGAAAATGTTTTTTTTATGTACAAACATTGTCATGGAACTCCTGTATTATCAGGAGATAAAAATCAGAAGACTGGTTTCGACCTACAGTTTAGACTCGCAAGTCTTGCTCGCAACCTTTCCTCAAATGTCAAGTGTTGTTTCTATTACAGTGCTCAAACATGCTATGAATAGAAGGTCATAGAACAGGATGTCAATCGAACTGCTTAGCACACAAAATACTCTGAATATGTAGCGACTTAATGAAATGGAAAAGGTTGTACAAAGAGTCACATGACCAGAGCATATGTCCATAATGCTCATCAGAACCTTTCGTGATGTACATGGGTCAAAAAGGGTTTAAGCAAAAAAACAATAAGTGTAATACTGCTTTAAATTGTTGTTGTTTTTCCCCCAAAAAATTTAAAAAGTTTTGTTTAATTTAATTGCAATTTTGTTTGTGTTTTTCTGAGCACAAAATAAATATCATACATTTTTCCCTGATTTACAGAAGACACCCACTAAATTGTCATTCAGTGTAACATTCTTGTCAGGCATATTTACAACAAAAATCAATTTATGACATTTAAAAGACTAATTACTTTCACCCCCAAATACTAACTAGTTGTAATTTTTTAAAATTTGCCAATATCCTAGGTTTTGCCCATTTGTCAGTAAGAATTTTTACTCATTTAAAACACAATAAATATATATTTTAATATGTACAAGTCAGAATAAGCATGTTGTTTGAATTTTTACATAAATATCGTGTTCCACTGAATGACAATATAACATTATTTCAACCAAATTTTAACATTTTATTCTCCAAAAACATATTTTAAACCTTAAAAGTAGACACTTTACTTAAATTTAATGTGCTTTCTATGGACATATAATCACTTTTGTAAAATTCTTTTGATTCGGACATCTTAACGTCTTTGACCCACACATACAGTAATATTTGGACAGGTCCTTATCCCATCATAGGATTTATCATGCGGTTTAAGGGTGAGTGTGGGCTAAGACCATAGACTGTAAAAAAAACATGGACGTAGTGTCCGTGACGTCACCCGTAGGTTTCGAAAGAGCATTTTTGAAGCTCAAAGTGGGTGGATCCGGCCGTCACCATCTTGGCAGCGCGTCACCGCATGTCACTCCCAGATAATCGAAAATGGGAAAAGAAGCGGGAGCTGGTTGCTGAAACCACGCCCACCTAGCTCGACGGTGGTGACTGCAGCGGCAATCCACCTGCCACTCAAGTGGCCATGCCCTTAATTATGCAGAACTTTAAGGCTTAATATAATTTAAACGGATGAGTTATAAAAAAATTCACCCCCCTCACAGTTGTCATGAAGGGCAAAATTAGCTATATTGACCTTTTTTTGAACCAGGCTGTAAACATGTTTTTTTCTGCTATAAAGTTGGGCATTTTAACATGGGGAGTCTATGGGATTGACCAGCCTCTAGCAGCCAGTTGACGAATTACAGTTTAAGTCACTTCCGTGTTGGTTTCACGAGAGCGACTGGAAGGTTGCTGCTCGGCTAAGACAGTCTTCACCCACACTCTGAAAAAAAACATCTCAAGCTCTGGAGGCTGTCAGATATTACCATAGTAACAAATGTCACAGAGGTCACAGTTATTTTCCATTTAGTGAATCAATCGTGTATACATCTGGCCGATGGACTATACTTGTCTTGTACTTTTAAAGGAATGGTTCACCCAAAAATGAAAACTCTGTCATTATTTTCTCACCTTCATATCGCTCCAAACCTTTGACTTTTTTTTTTCTCCAGAACTAAAAAGAAGATATATTGAAGAATGTTGGTAACCATAAAGTTTTGATTTACTTGTATGGAAGTTGCATTTCTCAAAATCTTTTGTGTTCCACCAAAGAAAGTCATTCAGGTTTGGAATGACATGAGGGTGAACATTCTTGGTGAACTATCCCTTTTATATATAAAATTCTGTCATGAGCAACTAAAAGTCTTGCATTAATGATAATTAGTTATATGGATTATATCTATACTTTTAATTTATTAATGCTCTTTATTGATGTGTGCTGCTGAAGAATGATTGTTTTGGTGTGTATGTGTGTGTCTTCTTTTTAGAGCTGACAATGGTTTTGATGACTTTAATGACAAAGGAGATGGTATGTGTTAAGCATCATAATGTACAGCTTATTTATCTCAGATTAAATATAACAAACATTTGCCAGGTTAGTAGTTTATGTTTCAGATTTCTCTGTGATTTTTTTTTCAGCAGATCTGAGCAGCACTAAGTGTGAAGCAGCAGAGAATCAAGCGTCTTTTGCACAGCCAGTTATAGTCCAGCCAGAGATCGACATCAAGGTGAGTGAGGTTTGCTTTGTAATCACCATTTCTAAGTGCAGCTAGGATAGCTGTATTCTAAAAAGATACAGCGTATCATGAACATACAATAAAAAAAGTTTAAACAAAAGTTTGTTTTCCCCTCCTTACTCTAACCTTTACCAGATTTCCATGACGGTTTTCATGTGTGGTATAACAGTAACTCTTTTTTTCTCCGTTTTTTTGCGTGTCAGACACTCTGTCTAGACACTCTAACAGTGAATCTTTGTATGTTGTTACTGTCTGTATCAGTATATAGTTATTTATCGATCATGATGTCTTCTGATTGCTCTCTTTAATCAGTGATTCCATTCCGTTTCAGTTTATTCTTATACCCAGGATTCCTGTCTGTCACTATTGCAACAAATGCAGAGCTGTAGTGTTTTTCAGAGCAACCCAAGCCAGATAACTCAAAAATATAAAATTAAACTTTTAACTCATTGATTGCCTATTGTCTATTTAAATATAGATTTTTATTATAAAGCCACTATCTTATAATGTGGATTTTCATCATACCTGCATACTCACACAATACAATTCGCTTGTTAAAATTTCCACCCAACATCTCACTGTCCAGATAACCACTTGCTTGTGGCTATTTGCAGTGTGTCGATTTGCAGTTGTTTAAAGTAACTGAACCTGGTATTTACAACAATAGCATCACCATCTCAGTATGTGGTCTGTGGTCAACCCTTTACAATAAATTGATAAGACACATTATTTCTTTACCAGAGGCTTTAGAGGGATAGACCACACAAAAATGAAAATTCTGTTATCATTTGATGTTGTTCCAAGCCTGTATGACTTTCTTTCTTTTGTGGAACACAGAAGAAGATATTCTGAAGAATGCTGGTAACCAAACGGTTTGGTAAACGAGCAATACCACTGAATTCAATTCAATGGATAAAAACATTTAGAGACTGAAAGAAAGTCGTACAAGTTTGGACCGACATGAAGGTGAGTAAATGAAGACAGTATTTTCATTTTTGGGTGAACCATTCCTTTAATTGTGAACTGTTAAGCCTTTAAACTATATAAAAACATGATTTTAAAATATATTTAAAGATGTAGTTTTTTTTAATTAGTTATCATGCTGACAGTATATCACATCTTTTTGTAAATTATCCAAACAATGTAAATGTGTCAAATAAAACACTGTATTCAATAACCAACAATGATTTAACCTATGCTTCATTATATATAATATTAAAAACAAGATGTGTATTTGTTGATATTGTTATTATTTTCATCTGTCTACCTGAACAGCTCATTGAAGCTTCCGCATCAACTTAGGTAATGTGCATGTGACTTGCTAACTTGTTCATTTCACCAATTCACTGTGTTGCATGTAACATGCATCCTGTATCATGACCCATAATATTATATCTAGATCAACCATACAGAAGCTAGTCGTGTTCATGCTCATTAGTTTTAAGAAAACAATAAGCTTAGTTTATACTATATATTGTTTATAAAAGCATAACATTTTAGTTTAGTCAGGTCAGTTTAGTCTTATTTTATGTTGACAGTTCCTGATATTTCCAACTGAGACAAAAACTGCTGTGAATTTTTAACAAGATGTTGGGCTGTTTTATTGGGATCCTTGGGCTATTTTCCTATAGACTGTTTTGGCAAGGAGACATTGGGAGGGGGGAAAAACCTGTATAACTGAAGTAAACTCACAAAACTGTTAAAGTTGTATAAAATAAACAGTAGAAATTGTATTTCTGTGTAGTTTCTATGTAAATATTGTCAGTATCATAGCATGTTTACCCTGAGATTTTCCCTGCACAACTTTAAACAGCATTCCCCTAACATTTTCAGCATCACTTTTCTCATCGTTGTTTTTAATTCTTGTGTAATTTTGTCATCACATTTAGAATTATCTTTCTATCTCCCCTCATTGGCACAGGCTTCTGGGAAAAGAGTCAGAGGGAACTGGCACAAACTTCATGCTAACACAAATCACTTTCCTGCACTTTATAATGCACTTGGCATTATATGTAGTTTTATTTATTTTATTTATAGGTAGTTACTATTTATTTATTCACTTATTTACTTTTTTTTTGTGTGAAAATAATTATATATATATATATATATATATATATATATATATATATCTTACTATTCCTAAAAATATATATATTTTTATTTTTACCTACAATTATTAGTGTTGATAATTAAACCGATACGGTCTAAAAACAGCATGTATTTAACATTAATAGAAAATTTATACTAATATCAGTAGATAATTTGTGCTTATAATCAGTGCTGGTGTCAATAATAATAATATGCATTAGCAAATCCAATTTCTCTTGATTCTCCAACTAGTTGCAATCAAGAAATTATTACAGCAGTGCATATTGAATATCAAATTTGTGCCATTCATCTTACACTTTTTGTTAGTAAGTCAATTTCATAAATGCAAAACAAAGTGTTTACAGTTTACATTCTTGATTCTTTGGAATCCAAGCTTTTTTGTTGTTGTAGTTGTTACTTTCCTCTCTGTTGCAGACTGCCAAGAATTCATCCAGTTCTCCAGAGTCCACCAGAACCTCCTCCACAGCAGGATGTCCTCAGTCCACGTCAGCACTAGAGTCGATGTCATCCAATAATTTACCACAAACAGAAGAGTCTGGACTTAAGCCGTCAACTCTATCCGTCCCCCAGTCACGTTCAACACAGCAGATCTCTGAGCCACAAGATCAATTCTATAATGTTGGCCCTTCCTTGTCCTTTCCCCTTCCTGCAGTCCTCGTACCCAGAGACAGCTAAGGATGAATTTGAGGATTCCAGTAAACCTGACCAATCCCTTCATCCACAAAAGAATGATTTTCACATTGAGATGTTAGCGCAAGTGCCTTTCGAGTTAGGCCAACCATCACTGGCTGGGCTTCCAGACATGCCACAAATCCAGGAAGATGGTATGAAGAATGTTAAGGAGAAGGAAGGAAGATTTGATATTGGTCTATAGTTGCTCAATATGGTGTTATCAAGATTGCTCTTTTTCAGAAGGGGTTTAACAACTGCAGTTTTCAGGGAGTTTGGAAAAGTCCCAGAAAGAAGTGAGGCGTTTGCCCCTTCTAAGAGATCTGCTTCTAAACAGTTAGCACCCTTTTGAAAAAATATGTGGGAAGTGTGTGAAGATAGCAGGTTGACGATTTAAGGTGCTGTACTATTTCTTCCAAAATTTTGCTATCAATCTCTTCAAAAGCAGACATAGTATCTTCTTTTTGATATTGCAGTCTAATCTGTCTGACCTTTGCATAACTTGGGGATGTGCTAATTGCCTTCCTGATATTATTGATCTTCTCAGAAAAGGAGGAAGCAAACTCATTGCATTTGCTGTCGGAGAGCATTTCACCGGCAATCCGACTTGGGGGGTTTGTCAGTCTCTCAACAGTAGCAAAAAGAGTGCGAGTGTTGTTTAAGTTACTGTTTATAAGGTTTGAGAAGAAGGTCTCTGTCTAGCTTTGCCTAGTTCCACATTGAAAGCACGAAGGCTGTCTTTATAGATGCTATAGTGACTTTCAAGTTTCGTCTTCCGCAACAGTCCTCCCTGAGGATCCAAACCTTGATAACCAAGCTATTTCCATGTGTATTCCAGAGCATCCAGCGAGCAAACCATTTCTGAAACATCACCAACAGCCTTCAATCTTCAACCTTCAACTGTTAAATCTTCAGCAGAAGATGAACCTTCTACTGCTCCATATCAGACATGTAAAGACCCTGAAACCCAGCACACACTGCCAAGACACGGCACTAAACTATCTCAAATATCAAAGGATGAGACTGAGGTTACTCTGGACACGTGTCTGATGGTCTCTCCAACCTTCTTCAGTGCTGTTATTTGCCTGGCTGTTGGGATTCGAGAGCCCAGTTTTTTTCCTGTGTGTGGGATTATTCCTGTTGTCCCTCTGGTTCTAATTTCTATGCCAGTCAGTGTCCCCCCACATACCCACATCTGTTTCTTCTAAAAGGCCTTAAGACTTTTCCTTCTTCCTTTTCCCCCAGTGCCTTGAGGAATTCCAAAGTATATAAAAAAAATTACATGCAAACGGATCTGGTGTTGTACTTGTTTATGTGGTAAACAAGTAAGTAGAGTGCGAGTTAGTGTTTTCAAATGTAGGAGTCGAGCTTCTGCTTGATATATTGTGTATCATTCAGACTTCCAGTATAAAATCTGCAGTGGTTTATTTACAACCAAAAATTATAGTTTGAAAAAGCAATGTGTGTTTTAGCTGAGTGACATCCCTGTGTACCTCATACACGACTGGCCATTGGAAATGTGGCTCAGCTCATTGATTCATACTTACTAAAATGTGTCTATTTTGTGAGTTTCTCTATATGTATACAGTAGCTACTGAAGATTACATTTGGCTCTTTTTCTTATACAAACTGGGAGTCATTTGTCAATGGAATGACAGGATGGTGTGCATATGTGGTTTTATGTGTGATCAGAAATGAGGTGAGACTGGACAAATAGCGCAGGTGATTTCAGAGCAGAATTTTAAGAAAGTTTTAAGTTTAGTTAAATCTGAGGTTTTGCTTATACACTCTTAAAAATAAAGGTGCTTCACGATGCCATAGAATAACCTTTTTGTCTAAATGGTTCCATAAAGAACCTTTAACATCTGAAGAACCTTTCTGTTTCACAAAAGGTTCTTCAGATCATAAAAAGGTAAGAAAGAAATGGTTCTTTAAAGAACCTTTGACTGAATGGTTCTTTGTGGAACCAAAAACGGTTCTTCTATGGCATCGCTTGAAGAACCTTTTGAAGCACCTTTATTTTTAAGAGTGTACCACAATGAGGAGTTAGTCTGTGTAGACATCTATGAACTAAGCAGAGCATTTATCAAGGTATGAAATGTTTTATGACATTTGAGTTTGTATGTTTATTCACTTAATTTCACTGTGAATGTGTGTTTGATGTTATGTGAGACTTCAGTTAACATACATGCAGTCTATAAACTTCAAATAAGTTAACATTTTAATCTTGAAAGAGTATGGCATTTTACACCCCTCCATTTCCTAAAGGGTTAAAAGAAACACTTGAAGTTGCTAACCTTTCTTGTCAGTTAGCAGACAAGTGAATGGCATTTTGCAGTGCTCTTTAAAAGTGTGCCCCAAGCCTCTGATACCCCAAAAAGGTCACTCATTGCACTAAAGTCACGGCATCAGGTTAACGGGTGACTAAACACCATTGTAGACAAAGATGATAGAACTGTTCCTTGAGGAAACTTTGACCCTTGATTCCCTTCCAAAACGTGACACTAAAGATATTGAGTCACTTATTGTATTACTTTGTCTCGCTGAATTAATGTGCAAACAAGGTTGTGAACACATTATGTGCTCAATGAAATATTCACATGTATTTTATCATGACAGTGTCAAAGTAGAAATAAAAGTTTATAACTGATAAAAACATATCGGTTTATTTCACAGCTTTTTTATGTACAGCCCTTCACATAAAGATGATCAAGCTTGCTGTTAATGTCAACAAAAATGTGAAATTATCCAAACTGAAATAAGTTCAACTTTGGCACTGAACAGAGCAATGGAACTCATGATTAACAAGAACATAGTTTGTTGAACATTCATGGGTGTATGATAAACATGAGGTCTGACAAGGCAACTTGATTTTTTTTTTTTTTTTACACAAAACCAATAAAAATAGCAAGTGGTAGTTTATAAATATTTACATATGCACAGATTTGGTTGAACGATAGT